CAGTTTTGAGAAGTGTGTTATCAAAATGTCTGAAGATCTTTTTGAAAGACAAAAGAAATGAGATCATGGAAATAGCACTACAGTGGTCTCTCGGGTTAAGTACTTAAATATTCGTTCTGGAGGTCTGTCCTTAACCTGAAACTGTTCTTAGCCTGAAGCACCACTTTAGCTAATGGGGCCTCCTGCTGCTGCCGCGCCACCAGAGCACAATTTCTGTTCTCGCCCTGAAGCAAAGTTCTTAACCCGAGGTATTATTTCTGGGTTAACGGAGTCTGTAACCTGAAGCGTATGTAACCTGAAGCGTATGTAACCCGAGGTACCACTGTACTTCCATCCATAAGCCCTTATAAGGAGAGTTGGGGCTTGTCTCTTTCTTACTTTAAAATAATTAAGAGGAGACCAAGTGGCTCATGTTCTTGCTTGCACGTTGTTGTTTTTAAAAAACTTGGCAGTTTCACAACAGCTTTTCCTTTCCAGTGTTTGTTTGTGTCTTTTGACAGGCTTTACATTGTGAGGCAATCCAAAATGTTGCCTGCCGATTTCTGAATAGCTGTGAGGTTGTTTGGTTTGTTAAAGCAGAACAACAAATGTTTTGTTTTGTGTGTGGTTTTTTTAAAAAAGCTTTTAACATCCTTTTTTAAAAAAAACCTCTGTTGCTGTGCTTTAACAAATAAATAATAACTCCAGAGCTCTTCAGTGCTCTACAGGCAACTTTTGAAACAGCCCTGGAAAACCCAGTGAACTATAGAACTATGAAGACACTGGAAGACAAATAGAGATATAAAAGGTAAAGGACCCCTGGACGGTTAAGTCCAGTCAAAGGCTAATTTGCTGAAGACATCCAGTTCTGTTGCTTGTTTACATTTGATTCAGGTAAGGCAGTGAACATGGAACATCAATTACTAGGCATCTGTAGTAGACTGGATATGGGCCAATGAACTGAAGCTCAGCATTTATTTATTTATTTATTTACAGCATTTATGCATCATCCAATTACCCATATCCTCTAGGTGGTTCACAAATTAAAATCAATAAAACACAAAAACGCAAATTCTCAACTAACAACCAATACAAAAACACCACCAAGACAAAAATTAACAAAACCAATGTTAAAAACTAGAGATGGGGACCCTTGTGTATGTGTTCAGTAATGCTTCAGTATTAAGAACCCTCCTTTGTAGAAGTCAACTGCCTCAAGGCAAATTTTAGAAAAAGGTAGTATAAACACCAACAATTGGGAAACACTTTCCTACGAGTGCTCCAATTGGAGAACATCCTTTACCAAAGGTGTCGTGGGCTTTGAAGACGCTCAAACTCAAGACGCAAGGGAGAAGCGTGCTAGGAGGAAGGGACGCTAGGCAAAGCCACACCATGATCAACTCCCATCCGGAAACCTATGTCCCCACTGTGGAAGGACATGTGGCTCCAGAATTGGCCTCCACAGTCACTTACAGACTCCCTTTTAAAACTGTGTTCTCGGCTATGAATGATCACCAAAGAACATTGCATGAGATCTGAGCTAGCTACAAAAACCACGGGCAAGGGTTTTGTGGCAATAAATCCTGTGCTCTTAAATTTTGTACACCGGCAAGGTATTTAAAATCTGGACAGGTATAAATCATCTGCTAGCTTTCCCCAGTGGTTTAAGCTAACTGCCCAGCAGTTGATCATATATTCCCCTCCGAAGGAAATAGAGATATACCTCAGATTTCTTGCACCTCTCTATAATCCTTTATTTGATGGGGATGCACGGCAGCCTGCTTAATCCTTACAGTACTATGTCCAATTTTAGCAGCATCTGCCTTTAAGAAACCTTTAGCTGCTTGACTTCCAGGAGTCTGGATGTCTGGAGGAACAAGTGAAGGCTAACACAGACCTGAGAGATTATCTCACTAAGCTGAAAGACCCCTTTGAGAGTCCCTAGAATGTTAATAGGGGAATACCTGTTTGATACACTCACATTGCAGAAGAGCAGCTGAACCCTTTTGCTGATACCTCATATGCTGCCACATGATTTTTTTTTGGGGGGGGTTGGGGCGTAAACTCAGACGTGTTGTGTCTGCTGCAGGGAAACAGAAGGTTGTCTCAGGGAGGGAGATAAAGGACAATGGCCACATAGCCAGTATTTGATGTATTTTTTGTTTCTTCCAAGAAAACATGAGTGGTAAACCAAAGTTTTGTTTTTGTTCTGGGGGCCACAGAGAACTTACTTCACCCATTTGTTAAGTACTGTACTGGCTGTTGGTCAGTTTTTAAGCACAGTTCAAAGTGCTGCTGCTTGCTTGTAAGACATGGATGGGAAAACTGTGGTCCTTCAAAAAGCAATGGCGGACTTCAACTCCCATCATCCCTGGCCACTGGCAATGTTAGCTGGGGTGTATGGGGTTTGTAGTCTAACAGTATCTGGTGTGTGGGCTTGTCTAGGGTTGAACCTCATGTTCTAAACTGGCACTGCTATATCAGTCTTCTGTATTTGCCCAGGGTTTTCAACAGATCATCTTGTTCAGAGGTAGCCAACGTGGTGCTCTCCAGATCTTGTTGGCCTCTGACTTCCATCAGCCCCAGGCAGTATGGCTTGTGGTTGGGAATGCTGGGAACTGGAGTCCAGAAACACCTGGTGAACACTACATTGGCTACCCATTTTATCTCAGTCTTAGCCTGCTGGAGTTCTGGATTTTACTGCTTCTGCTGCTGACTTCATCTTTACTTCACTGTTGATCTCATTCCACATAGAACTCCTTGTGGACTTAATGACAAGGGGTACATGTATCTCTCAAAGCAATAAATGCAACAGTGAAAATACCGGTACTTTTCAGAATATTTGAAGAACTGTCATAATCAAATGAAAATGGGGGCAGGGTTCAAATTATGAAAACAATGTTAAGTGAAATACAGGATAGTTGTACAGTGGTACCTCAGGTTAAGTACTTAATTCGTTCCGGAGGTCCGTTCTTAACCTGAAACTGTTCTTAGCCTGAAGCACCACTTTAGCTAATGAGGCCTCCTGCTGCTGCCGCGCCGCCGGAGCACGATTTCTGTTCTCATCCTGAAGCAAAGTTCTTAACCTGAAGCACTATTTGTGGATTAGCGGAGTCTGTAACCTGAAGCGTATGTAACCTGAAGCGTATGTAACCCGAGGTACCATTGTATTAGATTAAAGTACTGTATGTCATATAAAGCAGTAGGTATAAGGTAGGAAAAGCAATAAAAAGTTATGTCTTTAAAAATGCAACATTGGGAGGGGAAGCCACGGAGAAAACACCCAAAGATCTGGCCTAACTCCACTTGACATTAACGATGTGATTAGTAATTATCTGTTTAAGAGAAAGAAAAAAAACAGGTCTGTGGGATTATTATCAGTGTACTGTGGAAAGGGAGGTTTGAGCTTTCCTTCCCCCAGGTGCAATCTCAGTGAAATCCGCCCCACCCTTGCAGTAATTAGCATTGGAGGGGGTACCTCCCACTGATAGCAATGGAAACACCTACTTGATTACTCCATGGAAGCAGGGGTGGAAAGTCATTAGAAATTATAGCTGGGGAAAGAGGATTTACCCTGCGTCCTGAGAACAATCTTCCCACATAGACCTAGTACTCAATTAAAAAAAAAAATCACACTGCCCAGTAGATAATCACATGGGTACATAGCTGTCAACGTTTCCCCCCTTTTTTTAATTAAAGATTTTCTTGTTTTACAGAAGTAAGTGTAATGCCTCATATTTTTTCCATGTAACATTTTTACAAATCTGTTTCATTTGTTGAGACATTAGGGGGAGAAGAAAAAGAAAAAGAAAAAAGGGGGTGGAGGGAGGGAAGATGAGTGGGGGGGGAATTCCCTTATTCCGAATAGGATTCCTCGCAAGAAAAGGGAAAAGTTGACAACTATGCATGGGTAACATTATATGTAGAGTCAGGTGAGGAGGGTGGGGCATCATCCTTCACCCTGGGCACCAAAATGTTGTGGACTACTACTACATGTGGGCTCTACTAAATGTTGTGGGCTCTACTAGGCTGCATCAGTTGGACAATACTATTCCCAGTTCTTATGAAGGCTGTAGTTCATTGGTAGAGCAACTGCTTTGCATGTAGAAGATCCCAGGTTCAGTTCTCAGCATCTCCAGATGGGGCTGGAAGATAACTTAATCCAGTGTTTCCCAAACTTGGGTCTCCAGCTGTTTTTGGACTACAACTCTCATCATCCCTAGCTAGCAAGACCAGTGGTCAGGGATGATGGGAACTGTAGTCCAAAAGCAGCTGGAAGCTTTCACTGCCCACTAGGCATGATAGCTATGTTCTATCTCTACTACCAGCGGCATTATTCTTTTGCAGTTGCTGTTGACCACAAATTGCTGCACTCATTTCTTGCATTCCCATAGAAGAGAAGAAGAAGAAGAGTTTGGATTTGATATCCCGCTTTATCACTACCCAAAGGAGTCTCAAAGTGGCTAACAATCTCCTTTCCCTTCCTCCCCCACAACAAACACTCTGTGAAGTGAGTGGGGCTGAGAGACTCCTGCATGTGGAGGAGCGGAGACGCGAACCCGGTTCACCAGATTACGAGTCTGCCGCTCTTAACCACTACACCACACTGGCTCTGGCACATAGACCACATTGGCTCTGGAAAATAGGCCACTGTGTGAACAGAAAGCTGGCCTAGATGTGTCTTTCTCCTGATCCACCAGAGCTCTTTTCATGATTAGACCCCCGTGAATAAGGGAGAGCCACATAACGCCTCCTTCAGGCCAAAAGGCTATGAGATAAGGCAGAGCCTTTGTTCAACACAGCTGCAGGCTCTCTCCCCCTCCCCCTCCCCAACCAACAGCTGAGTCATTAACCCACCCACAAAGCCAATTGGAAGAGAAATTCTATTGGGCAGCACTGCTGCTAATCACTAGCTGGCCTGCCTCTAAATGGTATACATATAACACCTGGGATCCAAGCAGCTCTGCAGGGTTCTTGTGTTACTGTTTGTTGTTGCTGATTGTGCTTGCTGTAACGCGAAGATGGTGTCTCAGGTGTGCCAGAGCTACCATGCTGACTGCCAAGCTGCGGTAAACCGAATGATTAACCTGGAGCTCTATGCTAGCTATGTCTACCTGTCCATGGTAAGTTCTTCTTTGCTTGTTGGGGAGAATAAACTTCACTTGCTCCCCCCCCCCTATGTAATTTCACCCTTGGTCTGATCCTATGCATATCTCTTCACAGCTAACATGCACTGAGTTCAGTAACATCTATTTCTGATAAGGCTTGGCAGATAGGTTCCTTAGCCTTGCAAGGTTCCTCAAATGTCCTCCACTATTAATGCCTATGGGATCTTGCAGGTGTTAGATGTTTCTCTATGAAGCCTGAGTTGAGAGAACATAGTTCTGTTGAAGAAACCAGGCAACTATATGTCACCTTGAGCTCACTGGAGGCCCATCAGGTTATATATCTAGCAGGGTGGATTTGATTTAAATCAAATTGATTTAAATCGCTAGTCAGTAAGACTTGATTTATTCCTCTCTTTTTTTACAGAAAGACTCATCCTTGCTGGTATAATCTTAATATTTACAACCAGATGAAGGTTTCATTTTTGGAATAAATTTTCAGAGTAGTTTTTTACAGTTATATAAAAAATTACTGATTTGGTTATACAATAGATAATTATGAAATTATTGTGAGGTTTAATAAGTTAACTGTTTGTATTTGGACAACTTTTCTGCTGTACTTTATTAGGAGAAAAATAATCATTTCCTTAACAATTTAAACAATTAACTAAAACAATAACATTATAGCATATGTATCCATGTTTGTTAACTGATGTGGTTAAACAATTAAAAAAAAAACTTAGACTGTGTTTTAGCACACATGAAAAATTTAAAACAAATCCTTATTTCCTGATGAATAGCCTTTGGGCTATAATGTAACTTAAATAGAAAACTGTCTTTAGAAATATTTTTCTTGCCAAAGAATTTTATTTTAAAAATCCAATTTAAATTTTAAAAATCCAATTTAAATTTTTAAAAATCGATTTTTTAAAAAAATAAAAAATGTTAATTTTTATCCACCCTGAAATCTAGTAACTTTGTCTCCTTCCAGTCCTACCACTTTGACCGTGATGATGTTGCCTTGCATCACATGGCCAAGTTCCTGAAAGAGCAATCCCAGGAAGAGAGGAAGCATGCGGAGAAGTTCCTGCAGTACCAGAACAAACGGGGAGGACGCATCCTGCTGAAGGACATCAAGGTGAGGTGAAAAGCAGTAGGTCTTTGGGCTGTGCTGAACGTAAGAGTATCTTGGGCCCTGATGCAATATCCCCACTCACCTCACAGAGTGTTTGTTGTGGGGGAGGAAGGGAAAGGAGAATGTTAGCCGCTTTGAGACTCCTTCGGGTAGTGATAAAGTGGGATATCAAATCCAAACTCTTCTTCCCTTACCTCTCATCCTTGCATCCAACTCTTGCACAGAAGCCAGAGAAGGATGAGTGGGGAAGCAGCGTGGATGCCCTGCAGTCTGCCCTGGAGCTGGAGAAGGTGGTGAACCAGGCCTTGCTGGATCTGCACAAGCTGGCAACAGAGAAGGGAGACCCTCATGTGAGTTTTCAATAATGCCACATTGTCCAGAAGCCTTCCTTATATTTAGGAGGCTTAGAGGGCTGAATGCACCACAGTTAGCTGTGATAGAGGAGAAAGCTATAAAAAAAATACCCGTTCTTTCTGCAAGGTTTCCTTCCTTCCATAAAACCAATGCCTCTTGTTTCTTTCCTGCCCCCATGGCATTTAAAAACAGGAAGACTCAACTAGAGATGGACAAATCTGTCAGCTGCTTTTCTTGGCAAGCAAGCCTGTTTGGGGTATAACAGTCTTTGCTACTATCAATAAAATTATTATTACTGAAATCTAGAAAGCCTTTCCATGATTTGGTACCATGAGTGTCTGTTGGTTTAGCTTGTCATCTAGAGAAGGTTAATGCCACATGCCTTATTCCCCCTTGTGTCCTTCTTGTTTGAGGGCAGGTTCACGAAAGCTTGTCTTAAACCAGGGGTAGGGAATCTGTGGTAATCCAGATGTTGTTGGATTACAGCTGTCATAATCTGACTGCTGTCTAGGCTAGCTGGTGAGATCTGAAGTCTCTGAAGCCCAACAACATCTGGAGGGCCAGAGGTTTCCTATTATTATCTATACTATTCTATAACCTTGCAGTGAATACTTGTGTACTTGGCCAAAGCTTGTCTCTGATCTTTTCAGCTGTGTGACTTCCTGGAGACGGAATACCTGGAAGAGCAGGTGAAGGCCATCAAGCTGCTTGGAGACCACCTCACGAACCTGAGGCGCCTGGGGGTGCCCCAGAATGGCACAGGAGATTACCTCTTTGACAAGCTTACCTTGGGAGAGAGCAGCTGTGCAGCATCTTAAAATGTTATAGCATATGATGGTGTTAAAAATAAATTATTGTCCTAAATGCAAAGTGGTGTGTATGTGTGGTGCCCTCATATTGTTGAAGCAGTTGCTGGATTGTCTCCTACTCTCAGAGCAAACCAATCTCTTTCAGATCTGTTTAGAACAGGGGTTCCCAAACTGTGGTCTGCAAGCTTCATTCAAGTGGTCCATGGCATATTTATATCAAAACAATTAAAAATCACAGCCACTGGCACAGTGCCTTACAACTGCTAAAAGAGGCAGAGTGGTCTGTTCAACAAATTTCAAGTGGTTGGATGGTGGGTAAGAATGTTTAAGAGCTACTAATCTACACTAGCCTGATTTCCCCTAGTCTAAAATGTCTGGAGGGCATTTATATCAGACTGGTTAAGTCTGATATACAGTGCGTGAACACATCATGGGTATCCTCTGAAACTATCTAACCAATTCATGAAAGGAGGGACTAGAGGTTTATATAAAATCTTCTGATCCATGTTGGTTGTCCCCTCCATGTTTGGTAGCAGTACACATCTTGACTAGAGACGCAAAACTACTGTTGTGGACAGTAATGTAGAACAAAAGTGGGGGGAACCTCTGGCCAAGGGGGCTGATTGTGGCTCTCTTAAGTCCATCTCTCTGGCCCTTGAGACTCGCCAGCTCCCTCAAGTGCTTCTGCCTGGCTGTAATGTGTCCTTAAAGTGAGGTTATGCCTCTTGTCTGGATGGAGAGAAACCTTTGGCCTTTGTTGCCTGCCCTACCTGTAAAGCAGTGATGGCCAAACTTGGCCCTCCAGCTGTTTTGGGACTACAACTCCCATCAAACCTAGCTAACAGGACCAGTGGTCAGAGATGATGGGAATTGTAGTCCCAAAAGAGCTGGAGGGCCAAATTTGGCCATCACTGCTGTAAAGGAAGCAGTGTGTGTTGATCCACCTACTTCTGCCTCTTTCTTCACCCACTGCCAGCATGTTGCCCATGAGAGAATGTGGCCCTCCAGCTGAAAAATGTTCCCTGCTCCTGACACAGGATATGAGTGATGTAAGGTTCAATATTCTGCACATGCATTGGAGAAAGGCACAGAAGCCTCATCCAGTTGCCACCATGCTGCCATCTCTGGCCCTTTGCTGTGGAGTTAAGTCACCCTGGTCTGATGGACTCTTGTCTTCCTCCCTCTAAAGCTGACTTGTCTCACAAGCTGAAAAAGGTCTGCCATTTCCCTCGCTGCCTCCCTCAGGATCCCCAGTCCACATAATGAGAAGACTCTTTCACAGACAAGTGATGGACAGGAGGTGTGGGTTCACTAGGTATGAATTGTAGTGTTGAAGTGATGATAGAAACTGTCCTGGTCTGGTAGAGTCTTCCCTTCCTGTCAGGTACAGGAGGCAGCTGAGTTTTTGACAAGTGATACAATGGCCTGTTGAATTTCCATCACACTTGACACAAAGGAAAGGAGAGACACTTCTTGTGCATTGAGCTGGAAATACTTCAAGCTTATACAATCACAGAATTGTAGAGTTGGAATGGTAATCTAATCCAATTCCTTGCAATTCAGGAATCTCAACTAAGGCATCCTTGACATATGACCATCCAACCTCTGCTTAAAAACCTTCAAGGAAGGAAAGTCCACCACCTCCCTAGGGATTTTGTTCCATGGTCAAACAGCTCTTATTGTCAGAATGTTCTTCCTGATGTTTAGTAAAAAACTCATTTCTTGTAACTTGAAGCCATTATTTCAGGTCCTACACATGTGACTTTAGCCCTGTAGCAATTTGAAGATGGCTATCAAATCTCCACTCAGGCTCCTCTTTTCCAAGCTAAACATACCCAACTCCCTCAGCTGTTCCTCATAAGGCTTGGTTTCCAGATCCTATTTATACCTAGCTGTATTAGCAAACACAAATGTACGCCTTCCTTTTGTCTTTTCGCGGGCTGCGTGTGATGCTTTTCATTTTCGCCAATGTGAAAGCAGCTGCCCTGATTACACTCCACCCTCTTTCTTTCCACTTATCAATTGCTCCCAGCAAAACACCTCAAAGTCATTTAAAGATAAAAGCTTCAACAGTGCAATTTCATGTATAAAAGGAATCGAAATGATTCCATATACGAAAACCATTTCAAATCCACAGATAGAGAGCATGATTTTACAAAAAAAAAAAAGAGAGAGAGAGAGAGAACGCTCCGCTGAAAAAGGTTTGTTGCCGGAGGGGAAGTAGGTTGCTTGTTAAGAATGCATGTTCCATCAAATACCCTCATTCCCCCAAAAAGACTAAACTGAGGGGCCTGTGTCAAGAGCTGTAAGGTGACCCACAATAAACTTTTTGAGTTTCACACAGCCTGTTCAATTCTTCCGGTTGACAGACTGTTTGTGAACATTCTAAGGCACCCACGTTCTCTCAGCCAACGAGACTCACAAGCTCTACTCCTCAAAAATAAGTGTACAAAACATTATACCCAACTGATTGGCTCAAAGCATTTTTTTAAAAAAAGTTTGAATGCAGGTTATCACTCTTTTTGCCATGCCATGCTTGTGAACTTCAAAGCACTGCCTGGCTGATCACTTGCTAAGAACAAAAGAGCTTTGGTGATTGAAACAGGGCTCTGAGCAGGAAGATCTGCCTGACCATGGAACATAAGAGCCTTACGAGATCAGACTAAAGGCTTATCGAGTCCAGCACCCTGTTCTCAAACTAGCTAGCTACATTCCCAGCAACTGGTCTTCAACTACTCCCAACAGTGTAAACACAACAAAACGATCACTGCTACTACCAATTGCTAACCTTATTCTCCACAAATTTGACCTTTTACATCCATCCAAGTTGGTGTAGAAAAAGCATGGGGTCTTAATAAAGGGATCTGGCATTGACAAAGAGAGAACATGCAAGGTCATCCCCAAAAGCAGCAGGATGAGTAGATTTTTCTACTGCATTGTTGTGGACCCTGATTTCTTTTTTTAACTTTAATCATCAGAGAAAGGTCTCTGCTCGTTGCAAAATGCTGTTTCTATGGTGATACTTTGTCAGGAATTACAGAAGTGGCCTGTGGTGCAGCTCAAAAGTTGAGATTACCTTTTAAAAATGAAATTTTAGAAAATCTGCTCCAATTTCAGGGCTTTCCTTGAGAGAGCAGAATTACAAACCACAGAGAGAAGGGTATAATATGAAAATGTATTATACCAATGAAAATTGATTGCAAAATGCAGGTTTGGGGGCAAAATTGCATACAAATATGGGTATACAGTGGTACCTCGGGTTAAGTACTTAATTCGTTCCAGAGGTCCGTTCTTAACCTGAAACTGTTCTTAACCTGAAGCACCACTTTAGCTAATGGGGCCTCCTGCTGCTGCCGCGCCGCCGGAGCATGATTTTTATTCTCATCCTGAAGCAAAGTTCTTAACCTGAGGTACTATTTCTGGGTTAGCGGAGTCTATAACCTGAATCGTATGTAACCTGAAGCATATGTAACCCGAGGTACCACTGTATTAGGAGAAATGTACATACACACTGGTGTGCAAATGCGATGAATTTAATTTAAGACTGGGCGAATGAGAAACCCTTCTGCATCAGGGCATCTGCTCTCTGGAGTGGGTAGAAGATGTCCTCTCTGGGCTCTGGGGGGACAAATCTCCTCACAAACTGGAGGCACAGTGAGGCTTTGTTGAGTCTGGTCAGGTTTCTCCCCCACTTCTGGGTTTCTGGGGCCCAGCTCAGCCTGGGAACTTCCTGTGCTGCCCACCTGAGAGGTGCCACAACAGCACTCTGGCACGCTCTGGCTGATTTTTTTTTTTTTAGCCTTGACAAAACCTAATTGTTGCAAATGTCTGACTCCCATTTCTTCCTTTCCTCAGCAAAGCGCAAAAGAACACTTCGTTGATTCATATTCTGTATCACTTCCCTACTTAGTTTTCAAAAAACCACTTATTTTTGTTCGTTTCATGGATTGGACTGAGCATTTAAGATTATTTGTTGTTGTTTAGTCGTTTAGTCGTGTCCGACTCTTCGTGACCCCATGGACCAGAGCACACCAGGCACTCCTGTCTTCCACTGCCTCCCGCAGTTTCGTCAAACTCATGCTGGTAGCTTCGAGAACACTGTCCAACCATCTCGTCCTCTGTCGTCCCCTTCTCCTTGTGCCCTCAATCTTTCCCAACATCAGGGTCTTTTCCAGGAAGTCTTCTCTTCTCATGAGGGGGCCAAAGTCTTGGAGCCTCAGCTTCAGGATCTGTCCTTCCAGTGAGCATTCAGGGCTGATTTCCTTCAGAATGGATAGGTTTGATCTTCTTGCAGTCCATGGGACTCTCAAGAGTCTCCTCCAGCACCATAATTCAAAAGCATCAATTATTTGGCGATCAGCCTTCTTTATGGTCCAGCTCTCACTTAAGATTATAAGTGAAGCTTTCATTTAAGATTATAGGATGTAATGAATATGAGCTGGAACAGAAGTCATGGCAGCAAATGCATTGGGGCGGGGAGGATGTGAGAGCATTTTGAGCTAGACTCACTGCATCACGGTCCCTGCAAGCATAAATAAATCAGCACAGGCTGGTTCTCATGCCAACCTCAAGGTTGACTCTTTCCATGCTGTAAGCAGAGGATAAACCCAATTTATTCACAGCAGGCAAAATGTGAATTGGCCGGTCATCTTACTATGGTGTGGGTGTGGGTGTGTGGGTGTGCTGATGGATTGTGGATCCCTTGTCACCAGGAAGCTGATAAGAAGCCCACAACAGGTGATGCAAAATCCTTTTTCCTTGCTGAATTAGCTCATATCTTGCATACTGGCGCAGATAATGGAACTTAAGGCTGGCAGGGCAGAGGTGGGAGGTTGAGAAACTGATTCACCCACTGCTAGTCTGGCCCCAAGATGAACCTTATGCAAAAGATGCACCTGGACTTTGTCCACTAAGGTATTTTGGGGGGATTCACCACTTTCATTTTCCTTAAACCGCACTGTGCTGCTTTTCAATAGGATTGATTTACTGTTTTTATTTGTAAGCTCGCA